CCCCCCCCCCCCCCCCCCCCCCCCCCTCCAACACAAAGATAAAATCCAAAGGTGAGCTTAAGACTTGTCAGGGGCATAATCATCCCAATTTATTACCACTCTTCATGTCTCTGTGTCGGGCGAGGTTTTGACACTCATGCTTTGATTTGCCCCACTGACGGGAAGAAATTCTACATCATCCAATTGTGCCCATTGTAGCGTAATATGGAGCGCAAAGTCACGAGAATCCTAAGAAATTGCCATAGACAATGTAAACGCAATGTCCATTGGAATGGACGCCAGGTCTGAACGGGTTAAAAAGAAAAACCCCTCGAAATTAGGCGTTCACCCCGGCAGCACACACACGTGGGGCCAACGTTGGAATTCAACATTGGCGATGTGGGGCCAACATTGGTTTCCAGCGTTGGGCCAACGTCAAATGGCAACATGTAGCATGACATTCAGGCGATTCAAGGAGGATTTGATTGAGATTGCATTTCCGTACGTTATTGTTCAGCCACAAAGGACCATGCCACCGAGTCCCTCTCGGTCGAGCTTAAAGTTCTCCATGGAGAAGTACTACACTCGATTGCCATCTTTTAAAAGGTACTCAAATTCCACATGGGATTTAAGCCTCATTAGGAATTCACTCATCAGGCTCATTATCCAATATAGAAGTGCTTGTCCGAAAAGATTCTGATAATCGCGTCTTCATCCTCGCCTTATTGAGCGAAGCCCGATTTGATCCGTGCCTCCTCCACGATGAACAGGAGCCAAATCGGACTTCTTAACCCGTTCAAACAAATTATTTCAGCAGGATAAGGGAGGATAAGCGAGGCGAGAAGGGACGTCTGACCTTGGGACGCGTCCCCTGCGATGAAATTCCCACTCGAAGGCGAGAAGCAGGCGAGCCTCCACGCCCACAGCTGATTCGCGAGCCCCGTCGCGAGTGGCGGCCTCGGCCTTGCGGGTTCACTGGGTGAGAGACGCATAACCCCAAGCTGAAACGTACTTTTTTTTTCTTCCTAATAGTCCCCTAGGGCAGGGGTGTTACACCCCTGCCCTAGGGGAATCCGATTAATGGAACTCAAAAATTCGTCTCTTATTATCGTATCAGTCGAAATTTAAACGGATCTGGTGCGTATCTTCCAATGACTCTCGACGGTTCCCAAGACCATCGAAAATTTCATTCTAATCGGTCCAATTTTGTTCGGTATAAAGGATGGAACAACTTTTGGTAACGACTGGGTCAAAGTTTCGGCATTTCGGCAAAGTTTTTTTTTCCAATGAAGAATGCATCGTGGTGCCAATGACTGCCAATGCCAATTGGCCAAGGAACGACTTTTCTTTAAATCCCCCGCAGAATTCAAAATGTCTCCCAATTTTTGAGTCGGCTCGAATGACATCGACCCGGACGAACCTTTCCTCAATTAGGAAACCACGGCTGTTTTTCCATTCCTATTTGCCTTTCCATTCGACGCAAGATTCCCCTGAGCACGAAAAACATATATCGTTGACGAAGCGGGCTCCTGGAATCAACTGAAAGTCAAGCACGATGCATGCATAATGATTAAATGCATGGAAACTGGGAAGGGAGATCCTAACGTGCCATTGATTAGAAAAAATTACTAAGAATGGAACTCCTAGCCATTCTTATGATTGGCGTTTTTTTTATGTTTTTCATGTAGTTATATGTAAATTAGCTCAATCAAGTTAATGAAGTTTTAGACCGTTTCCATCGCTCTCATGGGACTTGTGTTCATCGTCTCGAAAGAAAAAAAAAGAGGAAAGGATAAGCAGACGTGCGATCCAAAAAAAAAGAAGGAAAACGAGAGCGGTATATTCCGAGACTTTTTTCGTTTCCGTCTGGAAACGAATTCCCCGAGGGGGAATGTCGCGACACCCCTCAGTGGCCCTTCGATTCGGAAGGAGGGCAGGTCAGAGGAGAGGTGACAAGGCCACGCACGCGGGCGGGACGGGGGTGGAGGAGGAGGGGGAGGCTCCACCGCCTTTCATTCTCGCTTTGGATCCCTTGCGTCCCTGACGCTTCCACCCGCTTCTCCTCCACGCCAGCCACGGTAAGAAACGTGTTCTTCCCAGCTGATACGCCATAATAACCCGTCCACCTTTCCTTTCTTGTCACAAAGCGTAACTGTTTACCGGAAAGGACAAGGGAGTGACTTGCACAGCGAATTGCACTGTCCGGGATCGAGTCGATTTTTGCAGCATGTTCTAGTCCAGCCCCGTCCGTACTGGATTTCTCTCTCGTTTCTTGATATTTGGGACTAAAATCGTCTGGGTTACCTAAGAAGTTAGTGGAATGCCTAGGTTTCCCTTCTTAATTGAGCACGCATTTTCCTTTGGAAGATAATTTTAGTAAAAGTAGCCTTTTTTAATTTGGCATAGCGATCTCCACATCTGGCCATTCACAACTATGCCGCCCTCTCATAATTCATTCCAGGTGAAATAATCAAGGTTTTCAGTTGCATACATTTAATTTTGTGGGCGGCTTATCATTGACAGGGCTCGGCAGGAATAGCCACGTTACAGCGAAAAGTTCGATCCACCTCGTGCGTATTTCGGGCTGGGGTGTCGGACATCATTTGAGCGAATGTTTAAATTTGAATTTAAGGACAATCCATTAATTCTACCTGCAATCGAACCTTGAAAAAACTTTAACGATGACTTTCGGAATTCGTTTTCGACTTTAGTTAAATGTCGGCAGGAGATTCGACGAAAAGTAAATAGGAATTGCTATCAATTAAAAAAAATTACCTGCTTGTCTAAAAAAAAAATTAGGTGAGATTCGTCCGATTGCAGGCAGGCAACTCTGATTAAAATTAGGAGATACATGTAGTGTTACTCAATTTTGAAGTGTATGTGAAATATCTAATAGTTTCCTAATACTGAGTATTTTTTATCCTTTGTTTCTTTACTGTCACCAGACGCGAACGGCTTCGGTTTCATTTTTTATTTAATTTTTTTTTTCCCTTTGTTTCTTCAGTTGCTCCAATTCTAGCGGCTCCACAGACCGCTGCTCCAGCCCGGCACATGCCTCCATTGGTTTCCTCACCCAAGCAAGGACCCAAGCAAGGACACGAAAGTACTTCCTTGGGACGGGGCCGTTTTTCCCTTGGAAGCAGCGATGAGCGACCCAGATTCGGCACCGGTGCCTCCACCACTCCTTCAAGATGAACTTTTTCAACGCATGCTTTTTTTCAACACGAGAGGTGACGTTCCTTTTTTCATCAGCGCGTTGATGAGGCCCTCTCGAATCGACCAAGGTAAATTTATCCTTTCCGTTCCAGTTTTTGTGAGAGTACCTTGAAACAAGAGACTCAGCATCTCCAAGCCTACCGGAAATTCTTGCCAAGCAGTTATCACCCGGGAGGCACCAAGTTCAGGTTAATTTATTAACCAGACGTTTGAATCTTGAATGAATCATTCAAATGTCATGATTCAGTAGCTTTCCCTTTCCCTTGTAGTAAGACAAACTATTAGTTGGTCCCTTTCCATGCATTTAAAGTACATCTATCTGGCCTCAGAAGCATGATAAAATATCGATCAGAGACGAGGATCACAGACCTCGAGTCAATAATTTCCGATCCGTTTTTGGATCGATTGGAGCAACCGGGCCCAAGCCGGTTGACGAGGACAATATGGTTCTGTGTAGGGAATTGAATGCCTTGACGGTGATGGCCAATTCTTGCTGATGCCGCCACTTTATTTGAACATTGTTCGTGCATATCACTCTATCGCCACTCTTATTAATCCTTTACTAAGTATGCATTTCCCCCTTTATCCTGGAATTTAATTGGAACGAATTCCTCTCCTTCAAATCTGATAACCAAGTCGAATAACCACCTCGAATCTTCAATTTTCGTGGTTTTACATACATGCATGCATTATTTACAACCATCATGCATATAGAAATGCTAATTTATTGAAAATTTGTTTACTTTTTATGCCAAGGATCTATTGAGCTAATTTCTCCTGTCACTGTAGTTTTTAAAATGAGAGGTAATGTAGGAATTTAAGTTCATGACCATAATGGTCTTTTTTTCTGATGCATGGCGTGCTCCAGACACTTTGGTTCATGGAGAGGGAAATCCGGATTTAGGGCCCTTCTGGACCGAGGAGAAGCGGCTCGTGTGATTCGACAGAGCCCATAGCTTAATTAGATGAATGGCACCAGAAGGGTCAGTGGGGACATTTGAAGTGCAGAGCTCTGAGCCCTCAGGGTAGTCTGGAGCTGGTTGCTTCTGAGAATTTCGCATTTTTCCATTGATCAGCTTACTGTTTCACTTGAACCTGTTTCGTTTGTGGAGCCAATTTCGACCTTAAAAATCGACTATTAAATTGGCGTCTAAATATATTATTAATATGCCAGTATTTAGATACTTCGAAGCAAATGTCCTGATTAGAAGCGATGAAACTGATACCTAACCTCAATATATACAAATAGCGTGAACTGAATTTTTTTTTAGTTGCCTTTGACCTGACCTGACCTAACGTGGCCTTGTCTACTCTAACCATCCTTAGCTAACATGGTTTTAGTTCTAACCCATCACCTTAACCAACCTTAACCTCGACTAACTCCATTAAAATGTCACATGACAAGGTCGCATTGGGCAGGAAGATCTTTGATTGACGGAATTAAGTTCCACAATTTTAATGGAACGAAAATGGTACCCTTTGTTGCAACCAATTTTTCAAGTTTGATGGCAACCCCGGGACAACATTTAGATCGGTTTAAACGAAATGTCTGTTTTATTTATACAAATGTATATATTGAGGAGGTATTGTTGAAGTTTGCAGTGTTTTATTTTGCTGAATTACATGTATTCCATCAAGCTAAATAATTGCTTTAGATTGTTCATGCCGTGAACTATAATTTCCCCATCGTTTTAGTATATCTTCAACTTCGCTCTTTGAGGGCTATTGGACCTTCATATGTTTCTTTTCGTGTGGGAGTGGAGTACTAATTTAGTTGGAAAATTTATAAGATATCTCGTTGGATTTTTTTTTGACGTCGAATTTCCGCTATATTGAGTAGAGAGGGATTGGACTTTAGTTTCATGGAAGTTCTGGAGTTAGTCCTATCGCTGGTTCGAGTTGAACGACTTGATGTTCCCTGCTGCTTCCCGTTCAAGATCCTGAACTTCCCCAGTCGAGGTAGCCATTTTCAGAATGTGGGTGACATGAGTTGACGTTGCCGAACACCGTGTGACCTTTGGCCGAGTTTGCTCCGTGGTTGAGAAGTTTTCAACCAGAGAGTGGGGAAAGCGCCTCTCCTGCAGCTTTAGCGTGGTGAGTCAAAGTTGGTCTCTGTTGCAACTAAGGTTCACAACTCCTGTCTTGTATCTCGTTTTTTCTTTCATTCTTACATTTAATTTTTTTTTACTACGGTTGCCTGATAGACTCTGCATCGGCTACGGTTCCCCTGACTCCAACTTCTCCATTGCCAGCGGCTCCACGGACCGCTCCCTCAGTCTGTAACCCAGCTCCACGGCCTCCTCACTTAATCTGAGACGACTGGATGGACGTGACTGACGACCCCCCGAAGGAGAGTGCTAATGAATCAGGGGACGTACGATGGTCAGCGACTCTGATTCGGCACTTGTGCCACCTCAACGGAGAAGGAGTTTTCTACCAAAAATGGTTAATTTGGCGAGCGGTTCTATTTTCTGATGAGGCCCATGTGTGAGATCATCGTAAATGAACATCAGTAAAATCCACCAATTCTATTGAAGGTGTTGGGTGAGAGAGGACGCCCTTTTCCACCAGGAGCCCCCCTTCTCCATCGGCTTCCCGCTCAGCATCTCTCAAAGTGCACCGGAGCATCTCGCTGAACTCTCATCTCCGCAAAGGCAACAAGCTCAGGTTAACTTTGTTCCTTAAATATTTTCTTTCCATTCTTACCAGTGGAAACTAAGTTTTTTTCTGTGTATGTTGCTACAGAAGTACGTTTTTCTGCTGTACCAAGTTTAAATGGTTCCATGCTGCAGTTCCTCTGCAGCAAGAAACATAGTTTTCTGTTACAAACTGATACATTCTGATGGTTCCGAGGGATTTACAGGGCGAGTCATAAGCGTCTTCGAATAGCTATAACTCGGCAGGAAGGCATTGCTACCTATTTTTTTAATGGGAAAGCGTAAGCTCGACCACTCGACGAAGGCAATCCGTCCTTGAATCCGTTGCTTTAGGTGAGGAGCGGGAAATTCGGTTGGACTGGGGCCGGATTGGGGTGGGGGTGACTAGGACCACGACGAAATTGCAACACCTTTAATGCAAACAAGCTGAAATTTGCAGTTCGTTTCTGGATCTGTTGAAGAGGACTTCGCTGGCCAAGCTGACACCCCTGCTTCAGCTGATAGATCGTGCGGGGATTTTCGGCAGATACCAAGTCTTTCACTGAAAACCCACAGCCAGAAGTGGAGTGGAGCCTGCTTGTCGAATGTATTGCCTGTCTTTGAAGGAAAACCACGCTTCAATTAAAGGATTCATCCGCAAATAGGGAAGAAAAAACGAACGACGACGACTTTCTCCTCCAGGGAAAGTGTATCGGACATTACCATGCAACCAATTTGGACATGCCGAAATATTTTCCGTTTTGCATGAAAGGAATAACCACGCTTCATTTGATAAGTTCGATCCACCTCGTATGTATTCGGGTTTGAGGGTGTCAGACGGAGTCTTCCGGCATTATTTGAGCGAATGTTTAAATTTGAATTTAAGTACAATCCTTTAATTCTACCTGCAATCGAACTTTGAAAAAAAAAAACTGTAACGAGGACTTTCGGAATTCGTTTTCGACATTCCCTAGTTAAATGTCGGCAGGAGATTCGACGAAAAGTAAATAGGTATTGCTATCAATTAAAAAAAAATTTGGCGTGCTTCGTCCGATTGCAGGCAGGCAACTCTGACATTATCATGCAACCAATTTGGAGCATCCGAAATATTTTCCGTTTGGAATTGGATAAGTTCGATCCACGTCGTAAGTTGTCGGCCGTTTCGGATGTTGGACGGAGACTTAGGCATTACGTGAGCGAATAATCTTTCAGTCCGTGATGGAATCCTTAAATTATGCCCGCAATCGGACTGGGCAAAAAAATAGCCCGAGCGAAACCTTTCGGAATCTGATCCTTTAATGTTCATAATTTTTTATTATTATTCGGTAATTGAACGTCTGCAGGAGATTCTGGGAGGAGAAAATGAGTATTGCTATTACCTGAAGAAAAAAGTGGTTTAAAGAAAATTCCCTTTGTGCTGAATTTTCAATTGTATTGTAGGTGGATGATTCTAATGAAATTTTGAGAGCAAATATGGCAACATAATTTTAGATGTGGGTCTGTCTATGGTGTCGGATGTGACATTCGAGGTAATATTTTTAATGTTAGAAATGCATTTAACTATATGGATGATGAATCGGCATATGAATGCTGTAAAAATTTTGCTCTGGGTGGAGACTGAATTATGGAATTTTCAATGCCGTGCACTCTTACGTGAGAGGTGTGCCTTTGTACAAAGAAAAGTGTCAGGCGTGACATTTCGTGAGCCTTCAGTTAGTCGCTTGCACTAATGTTATGTCGTACAGCGGATCCTGATAATATATAGTAGTCACTGAGAATATGGCGAATTTGATAGGTCACCCCATTAGAGGTCACGAAATGTCGGCTCGTTGACGGCCCTTTCCCCCAATCTCTAGCTTGGAAAAATTGGGTTGCCACAGCCTGCATTTTTCATCTAAAGAACAGCGGGAATGCCAAATGTGAGCAGGCGTGGTTGGCCTCTCGGGATTAACACAGGGACGCCACACGATGAAACGACTTGCATGAGGAGAAAGTGAAGGCTGCAAGAAAATTACTCACTTCTGAAGGGAAGACCCATGTGGCATCCGTGTCAGAATGTCATGGCTTTGACGGTTGGACTCGATCCGCCGACGAAGACCGGGGAGATCCTAAATGGCGTCATTTCTCCTTTTCATATTCCCAGTGACTCGACTATAGTTTCATGTTCGATTGGTGTAAGTCACCCCTAAATGTCAACATTTGAAACAGAATGTAAGCCTATTTTGTGGCTGTGTGGAATGTGACATGTTTTGAAAATGTATTTTGAAACGAAGCCTGTACATAGAGGGTGTTCGTCTTCAAACGCAACATAGAGAATATTTTGCCGCCTGTTTCTGGAACCATAAGGTCCACACAAGAGCCATAAGGGCTCTGTGCCCTAAGGTCCACCGTGTTGCAAACAAATTAGGCTTCCTTTTTCCAATTCCATGGAATTGAACCTATAAAATTTAATTTCCCCCCCTCACTGCTTCTAGATGCATTTGCTCCCATCCCTCTCCCTACTTATTTATTTGACTCTTGCCCTCCATATTTAACCAAGTCCCTCTCCTGGAGCTCCTACGCAAGCATTCCCCCCATCACCTCACGATTCATGAACTTCTGGATATTTCTACATGATTTGCGTACTAGGAGCTTTGTTCATGGAACCGCTTGGTATTCTCTTGAGGAAATTTGCAACTATACAATTAGTGGGAGTGGTACCACGTGATGAAGAGGAGCAGAGTAGAAAATGGTATTGTCCCAGTCACCATTACTGGTCATTTTCACCTATGAATTCCCATCTGGTTCCCTCATACTCAAAAGGGACCTCACTTCTGTCCCATGCCATTTCGCAGGAGGAACTCGAAGGGAACTGGGACCATCGGATCTGGGCTCCTATTCCTCTCACAAATATTCGCAATGTGACTTCGATTAAGTGAGTGCGCTGCAAGTTAGCGGAGCAACGAAGGATAACTAAAAAGTGAAACGTCGGAACGCTATCTCTTTCAAGGAAACTGCATCCTTGCTGCGAATTTTGGTATTGACGTGAGGAAAGGTTAGCAGTTCTCCAAAAACTGACCAACCACATAACTAAAATGGGCTGGTGCCCTGTCATGCGGAAACCAGGGTTGCATTTTTCAGTATCATGAAATTGGTATGAATAATATATCATATTCATGAGTAATTCATTCCATTCGTTCCTATGCAATAATCGTTCATTAATGTCGTCTGGGAAAAATAATGAATCATACCGAATGTAATATTGCGTACTTAAAACTTCGGGCTAAAATTCTAGGACCACTTGGCGTGGACAGACTCGTGCGGAATCTCATATCCAATTTCTATATGGTAAGAAAATGTAATATCTGGTTTTCTTACGGTTGTTTCTTTTTTCCCCTTTGTTGCTCCAGCTGTTCCATCACTAGCTGTTTCATGGACCACTCCCCCAACCCGTAACAGGGCTCCTCACCCGATCTGGGACGACTGAGTAGACTTGCCTGATCTTCCCCCCAAGGAGATCGGACTTGAGGGTCTTTGGGGAGGCACGATGTCCAAACCACTCCGCCTCAACATGGAGGGAACGTTTTTTTAAAGCACATTTGTATTTGTGGCAAGAGATCGATTTCTTTTCATCTGCTCATGGATGAGGTTCTCTTAAATGAACCAAGTGAAATGCACCGATTCCATTCCAGGTGTTGGGTGAGTAGCACATTCTTCAAGCGGGAGATACCTTCTCCATCGCCTCTCCGCCTAGTATCTTCAAGCATACCGAAAGTCCTCGCGGAGCAAGTCCCTTCCTTATCCTGAAAATAAATTTAACAAATTCCTTCAAATCAGATAACCCTCTCGCATATTCAAGTTTGCGTGAGAGGAATTTGACATCTTGTTATGCATGTGTAAATGTAAAATCCACGCAATCATTAGTGCAGAATTGCACATTTAAATGTTTATTTTTTATGGTAAGTATCAATTGACGTAATTTTTCCTACCACGTTCGTGTTTCCTGAGAGGAAATGTACGCATAGAAATCCATCTCCATAATTGCTTTTTTTTGCTGATGCAGTGTGTGCTCCAGACACTTTAATGGAGATAGGAGTTCTAATATGAAGAATTCCCGCACCGAAGAGAAGCTCCCTGAGGCCCGTCAACAATAACCCGAAGCTGAATGGCACAAGTGGGGTCAACAGGGACATCTTCAAGTGCAGAGCTCTGAGCTCTAAAGGCTCTTTTGTATAGTCAGAAACCGACGGCTTTTGAGGATTTCTGATTTTTTTCCCATTGATTAGCTTATTGTCTCATTTTAACTTGTTTCGTTTGTTGAGGCTAATTCGGTATCAAAAATTAATTATATTAAATTGGCGTCTAAATAAGTAATTATACCAATTTTTAAATGATTCAAAGCAGAAGCCTTTTGATGGAAAGCGAAGCCTAGCCTTGATTGAAAGCGAAGCGAAGCGAACCCTGAGGCTTTTTAACGGTATGCTAGTTGTTGGTGTCAACAGTCGATCTAATGAACGAAAAGAGGGAGTTGATTGCAAGCGATAAGGATATGGCCAGT